AAATCACTAAAAGTGCGTTAACCGACTAACAAAAGACGTCAGAAACACTAAATTTTATGGAAGAAATGTCATAAGGAAGCATACAGGCTTTTTTTATAAATTGAAAATGGGCGTGCTGTCGCCCATTTATGGATCAAAAACCATATCTCAGGAAGTACTGGACCGATTTCAATGAAATTCGGTATATAATATTTCCTTAAGACCCTGATGACATGTACCAAATATGGGTGAAATCGGTTCACAACCACGCCTGAAATCTCGATTATCATCTTATCATGCGAGAGTATAAAATGTTCGGTGACACCCGAACTTAGCCCTTTCTTACTTGTTAATATTGTCAGTGAATTTATCAAGGAAAATAAATGAAGTGGTACATGAAATGTACCAAAAATTAGCAATAACTGAAATTACAGTTATTGAAAAAAATCGCTCATAACCAATAAGTTATATTAAATAATTTATTATATAATTTATTTTATCAATGATATTTACAATGTATATAAACGAACATAAAGGCTATCTTGCAAGAACCACGATGCTTTTGTTCGTTTTCCCTAACGCCAACAGATGCCCAATGTCAACTATTAAATAAAAGATTTAAAGAAACTACACAGTTTTTTTCTAAAGTTTGATTCAATGCAATATTGGACACAATTGCCAACCTTCAGTTCACAATATACAATATCATCTCAAGATATTTAAAGTATTAAAAAAAACTTATTATCGTTCATTTTAAATTAAGTAAAATCTTATATGTTATCTCTGTTTTAGATTCTATTGGGTTCCTAATATTGCTACTCTTCACAAAAATTTGAGATTATTCAACGACTTCCAGGAGCATGTGAAGGATTTACCACCTTTCAGAGGACCAGTGATGTTCATATGTGGAAATCAATCCAATTTTGTTGAGTACAGAAATTATACACATATATATTAATATTTTAGTGGATAAACATTATGTCTATTTAACAGTCCTAATAGTTGGCCGGATATTCAACAAATGTTTCCTAACTCGGAACTACATTGGCTTGATGCGGGTCATTTAGTCCATTTTGATCAGCCGGAAATGTTTCTTAATTTAGTCGTGGATTTTTTGAGGCGATAATTTTAAATAAACTTAGATTATTTTACATGTTTATGTGGCAAACCATAAATAATAATTAAATTTTAACTCTCAATGCAACCATGCGTTTTGACATTTTGTTTACCCTTTACTCTATTCTATTGTACGTAGCAGAGAACGTACTTTTATAAAGAAGGTTCAACTACGAATAAGCGTGTGAACTGTCAAGAGCCATGAATTTTCTATTAGTGGATTTGAAACACTTTTGGCTCGGCAGGAGAAACTTTAACAGAAATGAGTGCACAGAGCAGAGAATTCAATGAAAATTATGCTCAGCCTGTTGGCTTCATATCAATTGATATCAATATGATTTTGCGAATTTTTATGAATTCATGCAAATTGATAACGTTATTTTTAATTTATGTAATTCTCCAAGCAATTTTTGTAGTTAATGGGCAAATTAGCTAATTTTTAAATATTTCTTATCTTTGATAATGTAATAAAATTTCATATGTATGCATATATTTGCTACATATGT